TGATTTCTTCAACTCATCAGGTTATTAATAAAGTGTTATTTTTGTCCAAATATTGGAGGATTTTCCAGAGATAATTATGTCACTGATTTCTAACTTAATTCCAATGAACTCAGAGAACATACTTTGTATGACTTGAATATTTTGAAGTATATTGAGACCTGTTTTATGCCCCTGGAATATTGTCTACCATGTTTCATGTGTACACAGAAAGAAAATGTATTCTGTTATTGTGTGGAATGCTAAGTGTGAATTAGGTCAAATTGGGTCATGGTGTTGCCTATGTCTTCTGTAACCTTGTTTATTTTCTCTCTACTTGTTCTACTATTACAAATTAACTATTGAAATTTCTTCTACAAAATTATGCATTTTTCTATTTCATTTTGCTGCTTTCTTGGTTCTTGTTTCATGTATTTTGAAGCTCTATAATTGAATATACAAATGTTTGGGAATTGACTCCTTTTTATATTGGGAAATTACCTTCTTTATCCCTGATAATACTTTTTGATATGAAATATACTTTGTTTGATGTTAATATAACTATTCTAGCTTTCTTTTTGTTAAGTTGGCATCCTATAGCTTTTTCCATCCTTTTACTTTTAACTCTTTGTGTCTTTATATTTAAAGTTAGTTTCTTGTAGGCAGTATCTAGTTGAGTCTTGCTCTTTTTAAATTCAACCTGACAATCTCTGCCTTTCATTATATTATATAGACCATTTTCATTCAAGGTGATTATTCATACGGTGAAGTCTAAATCTAGCACCTTGATTTTTTTTTTTTCTATTATCCCATCTGTTTTAACCCTTCCACCTCATTTATCTTCTTTTGGATTAATCCATCATTTTTAATATTCTCCTTTATTTCTTTTGTTTATTAGCTTTAACTTATTATTTTGTTATTTTAGTGGCTGCTTTAGGGCTTAAATAACTTCTCACAGTCTACCTCCAAACAGTAGTATACCATTTCAGGTATAGTGTAAAAACCTCACAATCGTATACTTACATTTCTTCCCTTCTGGTTTTTGTGCTATTTTGTCATGGAGTTTACTTTTTAATGTGAAGTAACTTCACACTACTTTATTATTTTTTAAGCAATCAATTAGCTTTTAAGGAGATTTAATAATAACTAAAGTCATATGTTCTTACCTATGTAGTTACCATTTCTGATGCTCTTCACTCCTTTATGTGGATCCATATTTCCATGTGATAGCATTTCTTCTGCCTGAAAAATGTTCTTTCACATTAGTTCTAGGGCAGATCTGATGGTGCTAAATTCTCTCTGTTTTTGTATGTCTGGAAAAACTCTCCATCTCATTTTTGTGTTTTAAAAATAGTTTCAAGAGGCACAGAATTCTAGGTTGGCAGTTTCTTCCTCTCGGTACTTCAAAGACATTGATTCTCTGTCTTTTTGCTTGCATTATTTCTAGTGATAAATCTGCTGTTATTCTTATGTCATTCCTTGTAAGTGACATGTCTTTTTTTGCCTGACCACATTTAAGAATTTCTTTTTAATGCTAGTGTTGAGAAATTAGTTATGATGGGCCCAGTTATGATGCTCCATGTGTCTCCCATCCTCTTTGGCCAGTGGCTACACAAAGCTTGTAGTTTTCATGGTGAATGGCAGGAATCCAAAGAAAGCAAGTCAACCATGCAAGCACATTTCAAGCCTTTTCTTGCATTATGTTCACTAACATCCCTTGGCCAAAGCATGACGCATGGTCACCCCCAAGTCAAGGCATAAGGAAGTGAACTCCATCTGTCATGAGGCCAGGGCAGGGCTAGGCCTAAGGATTATGCTCAATTGTACACTATATTGGAGGAAGTCCCGTACCTTAATTGTAAACTTAAGATGTCATTAGCAGAAGACACTTCATGAAATACAGCATAGAAGACTATTATAATTGGTAGTTATTTCCCATTGGATATTTTTCCTCAGTGTGGTTTCACATCTAGTCTCCTTTCTTAGGTACACATCCCAGGTCATCTCTTCTAGACTTTGGATGGTAAAACAGTAGTTGGGATCAAGCTCCCAAAAAGCTTAAGAATGTTGGGACGGCATCAGATCTACTCCAGTGGTGATGCAGGTGTGAGGAATGAGAAAGGATTAGTTTTCTTTTGTTACGTTAAGGGAAATTACATGTCACTATGTTTAGACATGGAATGACAGCACTGTGAGTACTTCCGTGCCCTTTTATAAAGGAATACTGCCTAAACAGGCAACCCTATTTTGCTCTTTTTGTAGCTCTATTAAATTACTCTTTGATTATGAGTGCCTTAAGGGATAACTGTCAAGTCTAAGGGAGAAAAACCAAATAGAGATTGAGCCTGAAGAAGCCAGTTACACATTTTGAAGGCAGGCAAACTGGTATGATGGATATTTGATGACAGTAATTTTACACAGACATCATTACTAATAGTAGTAACAATATGGCTTCCACTTCCATTTCGAGTATCTCTAATATATTATATTCAGTGCATTTCTTGTCTTTATTACTCATGGTAGTCTTACTGGGTATTATTATTCTCATTTTATGCATGAAGAAATGGAGGCTCCAAGAAGCTGAATTAACTGCCCAGTGAGAGACAGCAAGCAAGTGGCAAAATTGGGGTGCAAACCCAGATTTATTTCGATCAAAGTCAAAGCATAATTGACTAACTTTTTTAATCCTTGACCTCTAAATTCCCATTTGAGCTTCCTTAAGGGGATCTATTTGGCTCCTAAGGGACCAATGGACATGTTTGTGTGGCCTCAATTTTTCTGGAGAACAAGAAGAATGTCAAGAATTCCTTTGCACATCTCAGGGGTCCCTAAGATGTGGGACGGGATCTCTGCAGCAGCCTGGAATAGCATTGGAATCACAGGACGGTAGATAACCTGATTCAGCCCATTCTCTTCATCTCCAAATGGGAAAATGATGCCTCTTGAAAATGATCTACCTCTTGATTTTTTTTTTTTAAGGATTCGCGGCGCAGGTTAAATGCAGTTTGGGGAATACAATAAAGTAATTCTTTAAAGGCAACGAAGTGCATTCCTCTGAGTTAATGTTCATATGTGTCAAGTTCTCAGAGCAGTGTGCATCCTAAATGTAATTTAAGTGTTTGCAAAATCTTAAAAATATAACTTGTACCAGTATACAAGTTGATGAAAAACAAAACTCATGCAGATTTTGAATAGGGGCTGAGGGAATCTGTTGACAGTTTTGTGATTGTAATTATTAAAGAAAGAGAGATCGCAGAAGAGCATTATCCTTGTCAAATTTAAAAGTATACATGAGGAATAATTGTGCTGCGAAATAGATAATTCAAGACTAACAGCAGGATATATAAGCAGATTTCCTCCTACAAGGAGTGTGGATATACTAAAAAAAAATGTATTATCTGTTCTGCCCCCAGGCTTTTCATACATTTCTGAATTTTTAAGTTTTATGTCTATGATCAACATTAATTAAAATAACTCTTGTTCTTTAAATTTTTTCTCTAAACATCTCTATTTTTATATAATACTTTATCCATTGTGCCCTTTCAATTTCTAGGCAACAGATGGTCAGAATTGAAGCTTATATCAAATACCAAACATATGTAACTCGAATTGTGTGAAAACTGACCCCAATTCTCTCCACTGTGGTACAGTTTATGAGGGCTTATTACAGCTTTGACCTTTACTGTGTAACCTGAGTCTGGGTTAGACCAACTTCAAGGCCATGCTATGTCATGATCTCACAGTAAATGTGTGTTGCTGGTATAGTGGTAAGCATAGCTGCCTTCCACAGTAAATGAACTAATGTTAGTGCTCAGTATTATAATTTATTTTATTATTTTTTTTTGTGTGTGGTACGCGGGCCTCTCACTGCCGTGGCCTCTCCTGCGGCGGAGCACAGGCTCCGGACGCGCAGGCTCAGCGGCCATGGCCCACGGGCCCAGCCACTCCGCGGCACGCAGGATCCTCCCGGACCGGGGCACAAACCTGTGTCCCCTGCATCGGCAGGCGGACTCCCAACCACTGCGCCACCAGGGGAGCCCTATAATTATTTTTGCTATTGTTATAACAGGACTTTCATTCTCTACTTGGTTTTCTTTCTAATCTAAAAATGTTCTTGGGGTAGGAGCTCATTTTGCGTTGAAAACTGGGGGACGTGTTTTTCTCTCTTTTGCTCCCTCAGAAACACAGTTGGGACAAACAGTATTATGGATGAAGAGTGGATCACATGATAACTGAAACCAGGGGTGGGGTATCTCTGAGGGGAAGAGGCAGGTGGGATGAGATCACAGTAGACAACAATCCCTGCCTTTTTTTTTTTTTTAATGAATTTATTTATTTATTTATTTATTTATTTATTTATT